TGCGGTACGCGGGCCTCTCACTGCTGTGGCCTCTCCCGTTGCGGAGCACGGGCTCCGGACGCGCAGGCTCAGCGGCCATGGCTCACGGGCCCAGCCACTCCGCGGCACGTGGGATCCTCCCGGACCGGGGCACGAACCCGCGTCCCCTGCATCGGCAGGCGGACTCTCAACCACTGCGCCACCAGGGAAGCCCTACCTTGATATTTTTATGTTGAACCAACCTTGCATTTCTGGAGTAAATCTCAGTCGGTCATGGTGTATAACCCTTTTCACATGTTGATGGATCTAGCTCGCTAGTCCTTGAAGATTTTGCATCTATATTCATAAGAGATATTGGTATATAGTTTTCTTTTTTTGTGACATCTTTGGTTTTGGTATCAGGGTAATACTGGGTTCATATAACGAATTGAGAAGTGTTCTCTCCTCTTCTGTTTTGTTTGCTTGTTTGTTTGTTGAAGAGTTTGGTAGACGTCAGTGTTACTTTTTCTTTAAATATTTGGTAAAATTCACCAGGGAAGCAATCTGATCCTGGGCTTTTCTTTGTGGAAATTTTTTTAAAAATTACTAATTCAATCTCTTTACTTGTTATATGTCTGTTGAGATTTTCTATTTCTTCTTGAGTCAGTTTCAGAAAGTTGTGTCTTTCTAGATTGTCAGTTTCGTAGGTTAAATCCGCTGTTGTACAGTTGTTCATAGTGTATTCTTCAACCCTTTCTTATTTCTGTAAGTCCACTACTAACGTCTCCTCTTTCATTCCCATTTTTAGTAATTTGCGTCTTCATTTTCTCTTGGTCAGTCTAGCCAGAGACTTGCCAAATTGGGTGATTTTTTAAAGACTGCATTATAATTTATTAGTTTATTAATAAGTATAATCACATTTAAGAAAAACCCGAGTCTTTGGTAGTTTCGGAAAGATTGAGGAATGCAGCGATGAGACAGAGAGCATCCCTGCCCTCGGAGGCTGCCAGTCTGGGCGAGAGCAAAACTTGCATTTAGCATGAGGCGACACACACACCAGCAGGGGACGTACAGGCCACTGTAGGTGTCCCCAGCGGGTCACCTGCTCACCACCAGAGAGCTGGCAGCTTGGCTGTGCCATGTCCGCTGCTGCCTAGCCCTTTCTGTCTGCCTGTGCCCGGGGCCAGGGGAGGCTGGACCCAGCCAGCCTGCTGAGCCCTAACCCTCAGGGCTCCATGCACGTGGCTGGCAGAGGTGGGGCGTGAGATGAAGGCAGATGGAGGTGGGAGAGGCTGGGGGTTCAGGGCATTCCCGGAGGGCAGGACGTGGGGGCAGGAGTGACACCAAGCACCCTGCCCTGGTAGATGACGGGCTCTGTCAGTGCCCCCAGAGGCAGGTGGGACACAGGCGGGAAACTGAGTCCCAGAGGTGGATCCAACGTGCCGAGGTGAGTTGGCCAAGCCCCCGGGAACACGGCCAGTCTGTCTGGTGCAGCAGTGAACGCCCCTCTCCTTACACCCCCAGCGTTTGAAAACAGGGCCGTGGGCTCCAGCTGGCTTGGCGGCAAGAGGAGGAGTCCCCTGCAGATGCTCTACGACCTGGACCAGGTAGGCGGACAGACGCCCCGTCCCTCTCTCCGCCTCCAGCCACGGGAAACCCCGAGCTCCCACGCGGACCTGCTGCCGTGGGGCTGCAGCCACAGCCAGCCTCTGTCCGGGAGGGAATGCTGGGCTGCGGCAGGGCAAATCGTGAGGCAGACTGAGACCTGGGGTCTCCAGCTGTGGACTGAGGCCACGCTCTCTGCAGCACTGTTCCACGTGGCGGACAGAACGACCAGCAGGCTGTGTGCCACCCACGGCAACAGGCGGCAGCCAAGGGACCCCCGATCTCAGTCCTGCCGTGACAAAGGGAGACAGGCGGGGGCCCCCTCACCAACGGGGGGACTTGCAGGGACCACACACTGTGCCCACTGGGAGCACACATCCGGCTCACACACACCCCAGCAGGCACACTCAGCACTACCGAGCGCCTGCGGGTCACCTGGGTCCCTGCCCTTGAGGTGCTGACAGTCCCGTGGGGGGAGGATGGCATCTGATGGCTTCCCGCACCAGCCTGCACTGACTTGCGTCCAGGCTGCCCTGAGCTCTGGCAGGAGGGCGCAGTGTAGATGGAGTCCGACCCTCTCTGAGAAAGGGACACGGGGCCTGCAGAGGGACAGTGAAGATGCAGATGGCGGCACCAAGTACCTGGCGGTGGCCGAGGGCCACAGCGAGGCAAGGGCAGTAGGGAGCCAGGGAGAAGGGCCACACTGGGCTGCAGAAGGCGGCCGCTCACCGGGGTCCTGAGGGCTGAGCCCACGGCACCCACGCCCTTGGGGGCAGGTGGGAGGCCTTGGTTCAGCAAGGGTGACAGGCTTTCCCTGGGCCACACGGCGAGCGGAGGGCAGGCCAGCCTCTCAGCAGGCTTCTGAGGGGCAGGTGGGGCTGGCTCGTTCCCCTCGCAGCCTGAGGGCCCAGTGGCCGTTACGTGTCAAGGCAACCTGCAGCTGGACAGACAACAGCAGAGAAACGGTCTGACCAACAAGTGCTGACCGTGCACTGGGCACTCGAGTTCTGGGAGCCCACGCAGGCCTCACGGCAATCCTGTACAATGGGGCGTCATTATCCCCGTTTACCTATGGCACTGTCCCCTGGCACAGGAAGGCCAAGGACCCTGAGAAGGTCACAGAGCTCGTAAGGACTAGACCCTGGCTGAGGGTCAGCCAGGCTGGCAGGGATGAGGGCTGTGGCTGTAGGACTCCATCCCGAACCGGTGGGCACAGCCCCGGCTTCTGAAGCCTGAGGGACCCGAGGTAGAGTCCCAGCTTCTCTCCTTGGCAGCTGCAGGCAACCCACTTCCTCTGAGGCTGTTTTCTCTCCTGTAAAAAGGAGAAAGCAGTGCCTGTCTTGGTACTCATGCGGCTGCAAGCAACAGAAAAGCTAGCTGAGGCCAATTTAAGCCATTGGGACACTCACTGCTTACGTCCCAAGATGCTCAGAGACCAGCAGCCCCTGGCACAGCACAGGGCTCATCACCATCCTCCGGACGTTACTACTGTGTGAGCTACTGGTCTTACCCCCCACCCCGGTTTTAGGGAACGGTGAGCAGATACTCAGTTTGCCCCGGCGCTTGACGCTCTGACGTCAGACTTCTTTACCAGGCTGGCTCTGACGTCGCACGTCCGTTCTCCGGCTCTCGGGGTCCAGAGTGCAGTGCACGCGATCAGTCACATCCTGCACGTGCCTCAGGCCGGGTAGATTCATTTCCCCCCATCCAGGCCCCCTGTCTCCCACGCGGCCCTGACCCACCCCCGTCCTGTCCCCGCAGGGCCCGCGCTCCGCGCTGGCCGAGGTGCACCGGCAGCGGCGCGACCTCCTGCGCCGCGCCTGCAGCCACCACACGCGCCGGCAGCGCCTGCTGCGGCCGGAGGACCTGCGGCACGTGCTGGTGGACGACGCGCACGGCCTGCTCTACTGCTACGTGCCCAAGGTGGCCTGCACCAACTGGAAGCGCGTGCTGCTGGCGCTGAGCGGCCGCGGCCCAGGAGACCCGCGCGCCATCCCCGCGCACGAGGCGCACGCGCCCGGCCGCCTGCCCTCGCTGGCCGACTTCAGTCCGGCCGAGGTCAACCGGCGCCTGCGCGCCTACCTGGCCTTCCTGTTTGTGCGCGAGCCCTTCGAGCGCCTGGCCTCGGCCTACCGCAACAAGCTGCAGCGGCCCTGGGGCGCCACCTTCCAGCGCCGCTTCGGCACCGGCATCGTACGCCGTCTGCGGCCGCGCCCGCGCCCCGAGGCGCTGGTCCGCGGCCACGACGTGCGCTTCGCCGAGTTCCTGGCCTACCTGCTGGACCCGCGCACGCGCCGCGACGGGCCCTTCAACGAGCACTGGGAGCGCGCTCACGCGCTCTGCCACCCGTGCCGCCTGCGCTACGACGTCGTGGGCAAGTTCGAGACGCTGGCGGAGGACGCGGCCTTCGTGCTGAGCCTGGTGGGCGCGCCCGGCCTGCGCTTCCCCGAGCCGCCGTCCAGGGCCCGGGCCGCCGCGCGCGACCCTGCCGCGCGCCTCTTCCGCGACATCAGCCCTTTCTACCAGCAGCGCGTCTACGGCCTCTACAGGATGGACTTCCTGCTCTTCAACTACTCCGCTCCCTCCTACCTGCGGCTGCGCTAGCCCTGCGGGCGGGG